TGGCAGCAGTACAGCATCATTGACACTGCCCTGCACTGCCTTGCACTGCCTTGCACAGCCACCGGAGTTTTATTCCGCTTACTCATGAACAATGACTCGTTATTCCTTCTAACTCCTTGATTAATCCTGACCCACCTAAGTGGGTCGGTCTTACTCATCCTTGTGCCCTGCATGTGATTCTCTTGTACTATTCTTGGACCATGGATTTGTGTATATAAGACCCCTGTAGCTCGCCCTAAGTCCCCATCTCGACCTCTTGTGTCTTGGGGACTTAGGTGAGTAACCATCTCTGTACTAGATACTATGCTAACTTGTGTCTTGGGGACTTAGTGTGTGACCTTGAGTCCATTAGGTGTCCATTGCGTTGCTGTCGACCTCATGTCCAGTGACCTTGAGTCGAGCTCAGCTCCTCTTTATCTGCGTATACTCTTGCCTATAGTAAGTGCCGACGACGCTGCCTTTCCTTCCAACTCTACCCAGTTGCTTGGACATTCCAACTGTCTAAGTAATTGGTAACCCCAACGGGCGTTCCCCTGCACGTCGCTCGTCACATAGATGTTCGTCACGTCCAATATGTCGATGTACATTTCAGTGCTAGTAGGGTCAGTTAAAGTAGAGACGGCGGAGTAAGGATCGTAATGGTCGGTGATTGAGATGGTAGAATGAAAGAATGGTTCGTCGCACTCGAGCCTGCACGCGATTCGGAATATGAGATCTACTACCGATTACACGTTGTGACAAATCCCATACCGTGATTGTTCGCGATGGGATACAACATTGTCTTTCCTCGGAATGGTGCGCTGCCAGCCCTCCTTTGGATCCATACAGAGGGACACGGGGTCAAGATCTGATTCCACAGGTTCCATGTCACTATAAGTGTGCCAGGTGTTCAATGCGATACTCCAGCCAGGCGGCAATCAAGGCGTGCGTACATGTCATCGAACTTAACCCCCGGTTGTGCACTATGGCTGGATATTGACTGTGAGGTTGCCCGTGTCTCCTCGCGCGTGGAGCACACCGGGCAGCCACATATGCCCAAAGGACAGTCAACCATGGCGGAGAGTTGGAGGCATGGGGGACGAAGGCACAGATGCGCAGTCCTTTTTAAGATCGACGTTCCCCCCGCGCCCGCGCCAAAGCACCTCTCGGAAGGATCGTCGAGCCTCAAAACGCCCCCCTATCGGGAAAGAAAACGGTGTGAAATTGGTTTTGTTCCCATGTTAACAAGACGAATTCGAAAAGGGGATGCCGGCGGTGGCTCGTATCATACAGGAGCTGGAGAGGGTTGCAAGGTTCCGGTTCCGGTTCCGGTTCTCGAGGAGCCAGCAGCCATTATACTGAGTTTCAGACATTTGACGAGCGCGAGGGAGCGTAGTTGGGCCCTGTTGACGCGTCCGCCGGAGCAAAACACATAGACGAATCCGAAGGTGGCGGTACTATGGCGGTGGTTCTGTCTTCTCACAGGCCGCTTCCGGCCGGGATATTAACCTGAGAGCGCGCTCAGAGCATGCCCTGGAATATCGTAGAACATTCGATCACCAACAGAGCTATAGGTGCACGTAGCACCAATGAAGTTGCAGAAATTACACCCTTACTTTTGTAGCGGACATTGCGCGGTGGTCCCCGTTGGTGTTCCTGAATCCGGCATGCCGATGTCGCAGCTTTTTTCGGAGTCTGCGGACGGCAGCCCGCTGAAGCGGTCGGTCAATGAGAAGATCGCAGATCTTCGAAGCTCAGAAGAACCAATGAGAAAAGATTCGATGGCAATTTAAGTCTCTGCAGGGACCCATGTTCTCGGGCCATTTCCGTCTCGGTACCTACCAGATGGGCCTCGCATCGGTACCATAACAAGCTCATCCATCGTATTTACGCTTCATAATGAGCGATGTGCATGACTACATGCGCCGACTACGAATTACTTCTGGGGTAATCTCTCCCAGGTGTAACATATATAACAAAGCCATCGAATTTCAATTGGCCATTCGGAGATCCGTATGAAACTTGGAAGAAGCTGGACGAGTGAATGTTGAAGTTGAAAATGTAAACAGCTCATCAACACACCGAAAAAGCCCGAAACAATGGGGGAAGGAGGGGTCGAGAGAAAGAATGGCATCGAAGCTTCGAATATTTCCTGGATGTTTACCCTTGACTACCAATACATAAATGGCAGTCCATATCCAAGTCTTTCGAGAGGGGTAATCCTCACTGTGTTGCGTTAGCCGATACCGACAGATTCGTAGAAAGGTTTGTGCGAACAGTGGCAGGGCAGGCGCGGTAACATCTTGTGTATGACGGCAGGACCTCCACTACAAGGAGCCAGTACAGACCACTTATAGAACAGAGGGACACCTAAGAGTATCTAGCTAGCGGCGGCACAACTGCTGCCATACGCGCTGATCAAATTGTAGATGAGCACTGTGACGAGCGACGTGCAGGGGAACGCCCGTTGGGGTTACCAATCACTTAGACAGTCGGAATGTCCAAGCAACTGGGTAGAGTTGGAGGGAAAGGCAGCGTCGTCGGCACTTACTATAGGCAAGAGTATACGCAGATAAAGAGGAGCTGAGCTCGACTCAAGGTCACTGGACACGAGGTCGACAGCAACGCAATGGACACCTAATGGACTCAAGGTCACACACTAAGTCCCCAAGACACAAGTTAGCATAGTATCTAGTACAGAGACGGTTACTCACCTAAGTCCCCAAGACACAAGAGGTCGAGATGGGGACTTAGGGCGAGCTACAGGGGTCTTATATACACAAATCCATGGTCCAAGAATAGTACAAGAGAATCACATGCAGGGCACAAGGATGAGTAAGACCGACCCACTTAGGTGGGTCAGGATTATGAATCAAGGAGTTAGAAGGAATAACGAGTCATTGTTCATGAGTAAGCGGAATAAAACTCCGGTGGCTGTGCAGGGCTGTGCAAGGCAGTGCAGGGCAGTGCAGGGCAGTGTCAATGATGCTGTACTGCTGCCACTGAAGGTCACGTGACTTTGGAAAAGGAAAGGTGGGAAAAGGGAAATGATAAGTTCATATTTAGAAATGAAAA